GAAAAAGTTAATCCGCACAATTTAATTGGCCCAAGCGGGAATTCAAACAAAAAAAAAAATAAAATATAAAAAAATGCCAAAAATGGTAAGAAAACAAAAAAAAAAAACGGAAAAAGACTTTCTACTTTCGAATTTTTTTTCTTATTTTTTCTTAATTGTATTATATATTAATAGATTAATATCCCCTATATATAATTTTCGAATGTGTCGAGCCTAAGTAGAAGGCTCGCATGCTTCGAGATCTTAGGTGTCAAAATTTCATGCTTTATTATTTGGCTTGGACAGATTTTAATTTAATTTCAATCCAAAAATAAATTAGGTTCGAATTAGCATAAATTTATTGAATTATTTATGATCATTTTAGATGTATTAATTGTATTTTAATATCATTTCCTATTATAATTATTGAATTGTAAATGCATTTTAAAAGTTGATAACTTTTGTATTTTTTATCGGTTTTACATATACAATATATCTATCTATATATATATAATTGCTGGCATGTAGCATTTAATAAAATATTAAATAAAACCTCTAAAATTTTCCCTCCATTTTCGGTTACAAAATTTGTCATTAATATTTTTTACTTATCACATTAATACATCTTAATGAGTGTAATCATGTATGTTTCTATTATATTATATAATAATTATTGCTAATACCAACTAATAATAATTCACAATAAATATAAATTACATAATTATAAACAATTGTTTCAAGTTATGTATTTTAACATCAATATTATTTTTTTCTTTTGTAACTCATATTTTAAAAAAAAAAACAATTAGTAAATTATTTTAATAGCATAGTTAAACAACTTTAGAATCTTATAAATAATTGTTTTTTGATAATATATATATATATATATATATATATATAATTGCTAGCTTAACATTTAATTTTACTTATTTAATAACACCTCTAAAAATTTTCATCTGTTTTCAGTTACAAAATTTATCATTAATATTTTTTTACTTCTCACATTAACACATCCTATTAAGTGTAATCATGTATTTTTCTATTATATTATATAATAGTTATTGCTAATACCAACTAATAATAATTTACAATAAATATAAATTACATAATTATAAATAATTGTTTCAAGTTATTTATATTAACATCAATATTTTATTTTTCTTTTGTATCTCATGAAAGAATTTTTTTAAAAACAGTTATTAAATTATTTTAATAACATATTCAAACAAATTTAGAAGCTTATAAACAATTATTTTTTAATAATAATAATAATCAAACTGTTATTATCTAATGATAATGAATAATTTTTCATAATAATAAAATCGTTAATTTATTTTTCCTAATAATCAAATTTTGAGAATTTTAATATTAAATTCTCAGATATTACTACTAATATTTTATGTACATCTGTGCATATGCACAGGATATCTACTAGTTAAAATAATCATCTTTTAATGAGCTTCGATTTGATATCCATATTGTATATATAAAATAAAGAAATTATATTTATCTTTATAATAATAAAAAATGATGTATTAAAATTAATTAAGAAAAATAAAATTATTTCTCAACTAATATATTTATTTTTTTTAGTTATATGTTATAAGTTAGAAAAATTATTATATATAACATATGTAAGTCGCACAAGTACCAAGTCATACTAAAATATATAATGATATATATTTCTTATAAAAAATATTTAAATTTTCAACTATTTTTTTTTCATTAGTTTTAAATTTTAAGAAAAAAAATTTAGAGAACACCCGTGTAATACACTAATACACTGGCGTTGCAGTACTAAACTAGTATTACTATAGGTTCCCAGGAACGACATTGTTTCTTAGATCTCGTCAAATACATCACGCTCTGGACAGGCAGCAGGAAATTATTGGTCGATTTAAGTAAAATATTTAGAAAATTGAAAACAAGCTTCCGTAGCATAGTGGTAGTGCGTTCGCTTCGTAAGCGAAAGGTCGCGAGTTCGATCCTCGCCGGGAGCTCCATTTGTTGGTTATATTGAGATGAGCTTTGTAGCAGCAATAGCAGGTGCCAATATTCTGCACCCATTAGCATTTTTTTTAATGTAAAATTTATGAATTAATATTGTTAGTGTAGATTAATGAATTATTAATTTTTAATCCATAATGATGCAACATAAACAATATTATTTAATTATTTAATTAAGACGTGGTAGAAAAATAATATTACTCTTATTTAATTGATTTTTTTTGTTATTTAAGGAAACAAATGGAAAATAATTATCTTTTTTAAATTCAAGTAATGCAATATAATCATAACATTTAGTTTTTTGTAATACAAAATAATAATTGATAGTTGTGAATATGTGGGTAATAAATAGTAGATTAATGATAATTTTTTATGGAAAATTTCAAGTACTGTAATATAAAAAAATTAATTAATTAACTGTAAAAAAAAAGATGGATATAAACATTTTTTTCTAAATTTGCACGCTCAAGTAATTGATAATATTTTGAGAATACTATCCCAAGTGATAAGTAATGGATTGTTGTAAGCATTGCCTTCTGCCAAAAATCAAGTTCCTGCAATTAAGAATTGAGCCAAATATATGATCTTAAAAAATAAATCATGAATTATTATACTTTTTTCTTACATCTGCTTTTCTAATTTTTTCTTCAACACATTTTCCTCTTTATTTCCTTTTTTCCCCTAAAGAAACATTTTTTTTTTTCTTTTGATAAATTTCATAAATATTTAGGCCAACTAATAGTATTTCAGTATATATATGCATGAATGTTCACCTACCCACGATGGGCACATGTTAATATGTCCTCCATTTATGTGGCATGCACACATTGGTGATATATTTTTTTAAATATATTAACATCACCAATTGGTGCATGCCACATAAACGGTGGGCATATTAACATGTGTCCACCGTGGATAGGGGAACATTATCCTATATATAGTTTCTTACAACTATAACAATTTGAATTTTGCTATTCAGTCTTATCCTTTATATTCTCAGATACCTAAAAAAAGTGATAAATCTTTGTGCCAATCATGTCCGTATTACAAAAGCATGGATATAAAAGTCGATAGACGCCCGCTAGGCGCTCGACCAGCGCCTAGTGCTTAGGCAGGGACGAGGCGACGCCTAGTCGAGGCCTAAAAATCAATATTAAATACATTATTTTTTTATTTATTTTAACTACATACAAAATAAAATTATCCCAACTTATAATAAATCGACGTACCTAAGTCCAAATAATAAAATTAATATATTTTAAAGAAATCATGAAAACAAAATAATGTAATTAATATTTAAAAATAATAAAAAAAAATTGAAAAATTACCGCCGAGCTCGCCTAGGAGCGCCTAGGTCCACCTAGGCGCCGCCTAACCGCCTGCGCGTCGAGCCCGCCAAGTCCGCCTAGGAGCGCCTAGGGCCGCCTAGGCGTCGCCTAGCCGCTTGGCCGATTTTTTTTCTACTGATTTGTGTAAATCAGAGGCGGCGTCTAGACCGGTTTTTAGGACAGTAATAAAAGTATAAAAGGGTATTGCAAATCTATTCGTATAAGCTTCAAATTGTTGTTAATTCTGGCCACTGCATATGCATCAATAGATAATAGCGGGAGATTTTACGGAACTATTCCGTCGGGATTTGTAATCGTTTTGGTGTCGTTGTCGGGAGTGGTGCAATTGAGTTGTGATTTTTTTAGTGTTAATTGAATTAGGTAATTAGATTAGTTTTATTTTATTTTATTTTATTTTTCTTTTACTCTTTTAATCCCCATGTTACTGTTTTCTTAGTTTCAGTTCGTTTAATACGAGAATCTCACAATTTAGTTCCTACTCCTCGTGGGATCGACCCTTATTCACCGCTATTACTCGTTAGTAAAAATTAGGTAAGGAAAACTTATAAATTCAAATTTGTCGTGTGACAACACGCTTGAGTTAATTTTTTGGAGACATGAATTCCCTCCAATTTGTGAAGTAGAAATCAAACACATGTACATCAGCAATTACTTTGCTTTATATTAAATTTGGGAGCAGAAATCCTTAAATTTAAAAGGACGTGTGACCTACTATTTTCTGACAAGGTTTAAAATAAATGTTTAAATCGTTCTTACTTTATTTTGTTCGTTACTAATTCAAGGATTATATATAAAAAATAGGAAAATATGTAAAAAACACTCAAAAACCCTAACATTGGTTGGCTAATTAAGGAGATATATTGGACCAAGTCACCAAACCGGTGGCTGGGGACCTTTCTATAGCTATGATAAGGACTACCCAATGCGTGTGGTCCTTTGCACACAATAACACAATGCTACAAACCAAACCCTAAATCACTTTATATCATTATTCATCACCTAAATCAATTTTCCTTCTTTCATTTTTTTGGACCACATTCTCTCATTCTTTTCCTTTTGAAAAGAGATTTAGTGGTGGAGTGAAAAATCGAATCGACTCGAATCTTAAACTTTTAATTTGAACTCGAAATATTTAACCAAACCAGTATCAAGAAAGTACACGCGATCGTGTTCATGTTGTGTGTCGACGTGCCCATATAACTATGCTATACATAAAAAACTCTTAAGATTGGGACATTAATCTTAGTTTACACTACTTACAACACTAGTAATTAATATCCCAAATATATAAGTAGATGTAATAATATTGAATCCTTTCAATGTATAATCAACATAAGTCATTAATTGGTCTAATAATGGAACAAAATGTAGCCACAATGAAACAAATCTATTTAAATAGATTACATATATAAAATCATCTTATCAGTTCACTGCGCGTTGCGACATGACAAATTTCGACTTACCACTCATATTACCTGCTAGGCCTTCATCCATATCGACCGGTTGATCGGTTCACGATCCACTTAACAATTTCCCTCCAAGCCATCATTCAAAGTACTTAACAATATCGAATCCAATTCACATCCAATCAACTATGTAATGTCAATCTTGATGACTAAGAAAAAGAAATCGTGCAAGCCCGTATTTCGTACCATACGTGCACTTTCATCGGCTCCCATCATTTTCGTTGTGCGAAGAGAGTAGATTCGCAGTCATGTTGAAGTTAAGCAACCTCACGGAGGGTTGACTAGTCGAGCTCGAGTCAACGGTCGGCAAATTCGAACCATGATGATAGTTCACTTCTTTTGGATCATTAAAATCGCCATTCACAACACCAACTCCCGAAGGAAAATACGGTTGCGTGCTCATAGTCCCGGCCGGTTGATGGTACGCCAAAAATTGATGATGAGAAGGCACGTGAAACGGCAACAATCCAAAGTTATGCCAACTATCGTCGTGTTGACTGGTCAAGTGACCGGCTCTCGGCGTCAAACCCGAAGCATCGAGTCGAAACATCGAATTGTATGTATTATTATTATTATCGTTTTCATCGTCGAGCCTCATGATTTTGTCATCGTCGTTCAATTTTCCTTCGACCTTAAGGCCGCGTTTGGACTCGTGAAAGTTCGGAATTTGTTGGAAATCGGTAGGGTTATAATTATTCATCGTCATCATCCCTGGCGGGATTTGGAGAGGGGGAAGCTCGTCGATCTCGTGCTTAGCGGCGTCGAGCAGCCAATCGACCACCTTGCTCGGCTGGTTGAGCCCGAGCCGTTCTTGAAGGTCGTACAGCTGGATGGCGGTGGGGACCGATAGCCTCACCCGCCTGTCGCGAAGGCCGCGCACGGTGCAGACCTTGCTGTGACGGTCCTTCCCACCTATAGCTCTCGACACGCGCACGACTCGCGGGTCCTTGAACCGGGACCAGGTGGCCGAAGGGGAGGCCGCCTTGCTGGCGGCCCCATTTTGAGGGTCGGTGCTTGACGAATGATCGGTCGGTTTTTGGATCATCTTGTGGATGTATTGTGTTGATCACACATGTACATATTGTGTTAAGTTCCTCAAGATTTTCTGTAAAGTTGTGAGAAAAAAATGAGTGGAATATTAATTAGTGTAATCTATTGAATATTTGAAATTGAGAAAGAGTAAATTGGAAACAATTTGTGCTATTTCATACTATAGACAGTTATGTGACAGATTTTGAAATATAAAGAAACAGTTAATTGTAGGAGAAATTATATAAATGTATACCATAATCTTTGCTGCAAAACAAGAAGTATTATTAAGTAATATATTCCAATATACTTAGGTAAACACAAGCACAAACACACAAAAGAGAGAAACTACATGCAAAAAACAATTTATTTTTACTTGTGAAGCTTCAAACTACCTCAAACTACCTTATGTATTTTTACTTGTGAAGCTTCAACTCTCTCTCTCTCTTGAGCTCTGCAAAACTCGAGCGTCGACAAAAATCACGATATGATCGATGGTTTTCAAAGAGTAGATCTTCTAGCACAACACAAGAAATAAAAACTTAAAACATATATATGCGTCTTGCGATTGGAGAGAAAAGAGCTAAATTTATTCCGTTTTTATAAACGAATACGATTTTCCTTTCCTTCTAACTCAGCCAAGAAGATAGGAATGCTTAGCTTTCTCATCAAAGGGGACCATTTTTCTCTTTCTTTTTTTTTTTCTTTTTTTTTTTTCTGCACATCCAAAAAGAAAAGTTGGTTTTCAATGCTTTTTAGACAACTAAAAAAGGCATCATCATGGCTTTGGAAGTTACTGTTCCCATAGCTTTGACAGATGCACGCGTAGTCGTTACTTGATCACGACCGATACATTATAAGTTTGATCAGTCGATAATCGATAAGTACATATTAATCATGCATATATATATATATACACATTTTGTAATTAAGTTACTGTCATAAGACTATTAGAATTTGTTAATTTATCATTTTTACATAATAACTATTTTTGGATTACTATAATATTACATATAAGTGAGAGTAAACATCACCTTGATGTAGCCTTGAGGTGAGGGAGAGGGACCATTCGGATTATCGATTACGAATAATCGATAAACTCGAGCCGTATATATGAAGAGGACCACATATTTTTATTTTTCCAGTGCTGGGAGATTTTATGAAGAAGGCTTATCATCAAAAATGTTGAAAATGTAAGGTATTGTAGATAAGGAGGAATTTTGACTTCATTTTTTTTTTTTTTTTTTGTTTGGCAGATAGCCACTATTTTTGAAGTTTTCTTTCTTTCTGGTGTTAATATGTGAAAGAATTTAAAATGTGCCTCAATTTTTGGCATCATTATTTGCTGATCATAATTAAATGGCTCTTAAATTTCAGTAGCTAGGGATTTTTTGACAGGCTGCCAAAATTTCTAGCAATTTATTAGGTTTACTTACACATCAATAAATAAAGGTGTGTGTCTGTGTGTGTGTGTGTGTGATTTTTATTTATTTATTTATTTATTTATTTATTTATTTATTGGCATATATCACACTTAAAAGAAGATTGAATATAATGCATATAGGTTTTATAATTTTACATGAAATAGATTAATTTGAGATTATTTTTTATTTTCAGTCTATGAGAAGCACACTTTTTGTAGGGTATTAATAATAATATTCTGGTTGGAAATAATTAATGCAGTACTTTTGCATAAAATTAATGGCATCGCCAGTAATAATTCACGAGCCTGTACGAGGCTAAGCTTAATTATCTTATGACAATTATTATCTTGGAGAAAAATTAAATTTCACAGACCAACTGATGATGTAATATTTCATATATCTTAATTATTTAACCACCAGATATATATTTTAAATATTTCATATATCTTAATTATTTATACAAAAATTTGAATACACCAACCAACTGATGTAACATAAGATTAATACATACCGTACACAGCAAATATGGTGTTAGAAAAATCACGAGACTTTGACACGTGGCTAGATTTGACCACAGTGGGTATGTAAATATTTTCGAAATATATTATAAATTTGTAAAAATAGTACTTAGCCTACTGTATTAGAGATAATAAATTAATAACACACACTATCAATTTCAAAATTTAATGTGGACTTTCAATTAAGAATTAAAGAAAGTGTCCTTTTACACAAGTCTTGAATATTTACAGGCAGTGATAAGAAGAATCTGGAGATCACAAATCACAAAAATGCAGTTAGATTTGACAAAGGTACTCCTAACAATAATTGCACTATTGCCAAATAAATGGTCCCAAGATCCCAAGACAAAGAGGCCTTTTGCTCAGAGTTGATCAATAGATACATTGCTTTTTACATATATATATATATATAAAAAATAATAATAATAATATATTATCTTGAACAGTTAAACTTCATTTTTACTTTTTCAACTAAGGGCTAATTGGTTTCATGTTATGTCAATTTGAGCTCGCATCCATAAGAAGAAAGATAGAAATGCGCTAGAACTCTAACTTTGTGTCAGGACCTACGGGTCGAGGGACAGTCTCAGGTAGACAGTCCCCTGAGGTCAATTACATCGAGCCAATGATAGGAGTTCGAACGATTTCAACCTTAATGCAATATCCCATATATTGTACAAAATTTACACACAAAAGACACATTAATTAACCAAGAAATTAGTAAGAAACAAAAATGCAAGAAAGATTGGTCAGTGTACATTATAAACACATTATTAAGCTAATTAGGGACCACCTGGAAAATGCTTTGTTTTTTTCCCATACTTTATTCAATTGACAATACGAGAGAGAGAGAGAGAGAGCATGCAAAAGCTTGAAAACTTGAAATTTAAGGCAGGCTACTTGTTGTGGTGATTGTACTTAAAAAAGATGTTAAAAGTTGGTCTGTTGAGGAATGATAGTTGTCTACAAGTAAGTAAATAAATAAATAAAAAATAAAGTAGCACAATATGGGCAAAAGGGGAAAAAAAGGAAACATATTTGAAGAGTGCAATTTTGTAGGGCCCTTTTTTTTTCTATATTTTTTATCATGCCAAAAAAAAAAAAAAAATTTACTAATTCTTGTACGAGGCTAGACATGTTCACGACCGGTCGCGTCTCGGCCCGGAATCGGTTCGGTCAACATTCATATTTTTTTTTTCCACCGGTCCGGGCCGGGCTGGGTGGGGCCGCGAGTTGGACAACGAACCACAGTGTTATTTTTTTTTTAGGGTCGTACCAACCCAGAACCGTCTGAAACATGCCGGGTCGGTGAATCGGCCCATATAAACAGGGGATCAGTCATGGGCAGTGGCGGAGCCACACCTTGTGGCTGGGGTCCGCTGACCCCTATGAATTTCAAAATTTTTAGTATAAAATACTGTTCAAACACTGTTTACTAGGTTAATGACCCTGCTAAAAAATATTGCCGACCCCGGTGAAATTTGAGGCTGGTTTCGCCCCTGGTCATGGGCCATGAGATTGAGGCGTGCAGGCCCGGCTGGCCGGGCCAGGCCGGATCGCAGCCGGG